GGCTATCAATGTATATAGTACATTATTGTATTGAATACTATAGACAACTGTAACATAATAGTAAGTATTTGTATATCTGAACATATCTAAATATAGAAAAGGTACACTAATAATATGGTATAAAAGATTTAAAAAACGGCATATCTGTGTAGCTCCATTATAATCTTATGGAACCACTATGCTCTATGCAGTCTGCCATAGACTGGAATGTTGTCATATGGCAAATAACCTATTTGAGAGTGTTTCTGATATGATGCCATATTACCCCCAAATTGGTTTTTTGGTTTCTTTTTGAGTCAGAGTCTCACTCTGTTGCTCGGGCTAGAAATGCCATGGCGTCAGCCTAGCCCACAGCAACCTCAAACTCCTGGTTCAAGGAATCTTCCTGCCTCAGCCTCCCTAGTAGCTGTGACTACAGGAGGGCACCACCACACCAGCTAATATTTTTCTATTTTTAGTAGAGATGGGAGTCTTGCTCTTGCTCAGGCTGGTCTCAAACTCCTGACCTTGAGCAATCCTCCTCCCTCAGCCTCCCAGAGTGCTAGGATTACAGGTGTGAGCCACTGTGCCCGGCCTGTACCTCCCTTTGCTGTCAGTAACTCGGGTAACTCTCATTATCTATATAGGGTGACTTACTTTTTAATCCGCCTCCCTGTATTTAACATGTTATCTCCCCATTCCATTTTGGGTTCACACCCTGTACTGGGCCGCCCTATTTCACAGAAGCCCTCCTACCATGCTCAGGTCCTGATATTCCATGTCTGTGGGTGCCCTTTTTGTTCTGCTAGGGCTTTGACACTCTGTGTGGGGCTGCTTCCCTCCCCCATCCAGCCCCACCCCTTCTCCTCAGCCTGGTTGGGCTTTGACACACTATCTTGTTTGAACTCCTACCTTGCTCAACACTATGTAGTGGCTTTTGGACTAAATTGACCAGGAGAAGGGAGAAAAAGAGGAAGAGGAAGAAGTTAATTTAGTTTTATAATTCATAGGTCCCTGAACCTGAGGAATCCTATCTGGACCTGATTTAGATGATGAGATTCTGGATCTGAAGTCTTCATTAGATGAGCCTTTGAGGGGACCTTGGAAGAGATTATAGTATTTTACCTGTGAGAAGAATCTAAATAATCTGTAGCCACTAGGCAAACTATGGTGGATTAAAGATGCCTGCCAATTCTTTGCCCCTCTTCCCATCAAGAGAGGGAGTCAATGTTTACTCTTGAATCTGGATTGCCCTTTAACTTGTTTTAACCAAAAGAATGCCCACAGAAGTGATGCTTAGAGCTGGGCTTTAAGGGATCTGTATTTTCTTACCGTGTTTTCAAAATGTTCCTTTTCGGAAAGCTTCTTCCCGTCTGTGAGGAAACCCACACAGCCACGTGGAGAGGGCTTTGTGGCGAGGTCCACGTGACCCACAACCCATTCTGAGCTTCCAACAGCCAGCCCTGTGAGTGAGGCTGCTTTGGAGCTTCCAGCGGCGCCAGCGCCCCAGCTGACACCGGGTGGGGCAGAACCGCCCAGGCAACTACCAGGCTGTGAGAAATGGTTATGTGTCAAAACTTGTTAAGACACTAAGTTTTGGGGTGGTATGTTATGCTCCAGAGATAACTGAAATAACTGTCTGCCACACGCCAGGCACTATTCTATGCCCTTCTTTCTACTGACCTAGGAGAGTAAAAATAGAAATGTAAACTGACAGTTTCTGTCAGTTTGCATTTCAGAAGAGGGCGCTGTGAGAGAGCAGAGGAAAGGCCACTGACCTGTGGAAGGCAAGCTCCAGGGAGAAGCAGAGAGCTGGTGACTCTGGGCAGGTGAGCACTGGATGGGCCAACTGCCAAACCTACGTGCCAGCTTTGGGCCAGTCAGCACTGTGACTTCCCCCTCCAGGCGTCTCACATGAGAAGATTAATTTTTCACCTGACAAAGTTGAGTGTGGAAAGAGCTGAAGACCATGGGGAAGAAGGTTGCCTGGGTCTGTCTGTCCTTCTTTCTCTAACACCAGTTCGTGTTTGGACAGTTGGAAGGTTTCTGGAACTTCTGGACCTTTCAGAAGCAAGAAATTTACTGATTCTGGGTACCTCCAGATCAGGGGCTGATGAGGCTGGTGCTCAGGCCTCAGTGGACTCTGCATGACCCTGAGGGATAGGCAATTAGCAAGTGTTGTTTCTTCTCATTGCTTTTTAGCCACAGAGGGTCCTGGGACAGGTCTGTGACTCCTAACCTCCCCTTAATCCTGTCTCCTGGACATCACCTATGGAAGATACATCTCCATTTTCCCCTCCCCTCATTTTTCAGATGGGGGAATAATCTGAAATCCCCTTACTCATGGCCTGGCAGAATTTTCCCCTAGACATAGGCTGTTTGGGTCAGCTTCACCCTTACCAACTCTTTGCAGAACAACCCTTGATTTTGTGTTCACACAAAGTATTTTAACAAATACTTGTTTGATGCCAACTATGTGCCAGGCTCAGTTTAGGGGCTGAAGATACAGTAGTGAACAAGAGAGAAATTTCCTACCCTCATGGAGCTCATCTTCTAATGAGGGAGACAAGACAACAGAAAATAAATGCATAATGTTGGGTAGTTGATACCTACTCTGAAAAAATCAAGCAAGTGAAGCAGAGTCAGGTGGGAGAGACAATTCCACATAGGGTAGTCTGAGGTTTATCTCATAAGGTGACTTTTGGGGGACCTAAATGAAATATTGGGGAAGAGTGTTTCAGGCTAGGTGAAGAGCAAGTAAAAAGGCCCTGAGGCAGGAATATGGCAAGTTCAAGGAAGAGCAATTAGGTTAGAGCCACTAAAGCAGGTCCAGCTTGGTAGATAGAGAGTGATAAATGAGGGTGTGGAAGGAGATAGGAACTAGACTGGATAGAGCTTCTATGGATTTGGATTTTGTTCTGAATAAAATGGCACGGATCTGATTTATGCTTACAAAGATCTCCCTGGGTGCTCTGGAGAATAGACTGGGGAGGAAGCATGGAGAAGGTAGAAGCTGGGTGACCAATTAGTAGGCTTTCATATAATGTAGGTCAAGCTGATGGTGGCTTCGCCCAGGATGGTTACATCAGAGTTAGCAGGTGGTAAATTTTGATGTTTTGAGGGTAGCACTGACAAGACTTGCTAAGGGTTTTGAGATGGCATTTGGGAGTAAGAGAGGCACATCAATGACAACTTTTAGGTTTTGGGAAACAGGATGAACAATGGTACAACTTTCTGAGGGAGGTAAGAATAGGAGTGGAGTGTAAGGAATAGTTTGGTGGGGCAGGATGTGCTGAGTTTAAGATGCCAGTAAAATAGGCAGTTGAGTATGAGTCTGGAGGTCAGGGAAGAGACCTGGGTTGGAGACAAATTTTGGAGTGATCATATAGCGGGTGAATGGAGACAGACAAGAGCATCATGGACTATACCTGGGGCCTTCAGCAACTGGGGAAGAAGAGTCCAAAAAGGAGACAAAGAAATGGCCAGTGAAGTGAGGAAGATCAGGTGGACCTGGTGTCCAGGAAGTAAGGCAAGCAGATTCTGTATGGTCACAATGAAGCGTCAACTCCTGAGACTTAATTTTCTCATCTGTGAAATGGAGGCTGTAACAATGCCTACACTTTATGGCATATAATAAAATCTCAAAATAAGGTAGCTATTGTTGTCATTCCCCACCTCAGAGTTGGCTGCCAGAGCCTTCAGCTTCCCTACTCACATAAGTGACAGCACCTCCATGAATCTGTTTCTGAAGGTGTCTGCTCACTGGAGCACTCACTCAGGTGGGTCTGAGGCCCCTCAATCAAATCTATTAATAGGTCAAGTGGCTTCAAAACCTAAAAGTCTCACCCACATAACCCTCAGCCCCTACTCTCAAATCAATATGGGGAAATGTGTCAAAAATAAGGATTTTGGAGCCAGAATTCTACCAGCTGTGGGATCTTAGGCAAGTTTCTTGACCCTCACTGGGCTCTATTTCATTTATACCCATCTCTAAAACGGGGAGAATTCCTACCTAACGGAACTGTATCCATTCCAGTGCAGGTTGTAAAACTGGCTGTTCTGCACGCTGGTGTAGGGGTCACTGAGGCTTCTTGTCACCCTTCCCCTCAAAGCATCTATCCTCACGGGGTGGGCTGCACTAGAAGAGGCACCTCCCCCTTCCCAGAACCAAGCTGGTTGGTCTCTGAGACCCCCTAGCCCAGGCTACACTATGGTGAGGTGAGAAAAATGGCAGCTTGTGCACTTTCTTTGCGCAGGGTGCCCAGGGAGCCGCGACTTCTTGCAGGGCCCCCACATTGGCAGCGGGGCTCACCTGGGCTAAGGGAGCGAGTTTCGAACGTCCCAGAGAATTCCTCAGCCACCATCCCACCCCTCGCCGGGCGTGGAAGCCGGTTTCTTGGCAACCGTTTTCTGCCCCTCTTCCTCACCCCTAGGCCCACCGAGGCCCAGTAGCTAGGACCCCGTCGCACCTCGCAACCGTCCAGACAACCCCCGCTTGCTCTGCGCCGCCGCGCTGCAGGCCCGGGCCGCACCCCAGTCCGTGCGCACCCCAGGAAGTGGCGCGGCCTCTCGACGGCAGCGTGGAGGAGGAGGAGGCGCGGCCGGGTAGCGATCAAGGCTCCACCGCGAAGGCTCGGGAGGAAGAGGGCGGTGCGCGCCTGGGCGCCGGAGCGGCAGGCAGACCCCCGGCTGCACCGCGGGCGGGCTCTGGGGCTCCGCGCCGCGCCCCCTCGGAGCGGCTCCGCCCCCGCAGCCCACCCCCCCGACGCCCCGCCTCGCGCGGCTCTGTCCCGCCACTGACGGCCCCGCCCCTCGGCTCCCGCCCCAGCGGCCCCGCCCTCCCCCTCTCGTCCAGAAAACCCCGTCCGGGCCCCGCCCCGTCCCCGCCCGCGCCTCGGGCGCCCTTCTGGTGGCTCTCGGGTCGGCCGGCCGAGTCTCGGCGCTGCGCCGCCCGCCCACTGGCGCCGCGCTCCCCACTCCCCCCGGCCCTCCCCCATCGCCGTGGTCCGCAGCTCCTGGCTGGCGGCCCGCGGGCGGGTCGCCTCCCCTCCCGCAGCCCACACCCCTCTTAAAGCGGCGGCGGGAAGATGAGGCTTCGGGAGCCGCTCCTGGGCGGCAGCGCCGCGATGCCGGGCGCGTCCCTGCAGCGGGCCTGCCGCCTGCTCGTGGCCGTCTGCGCGCTGCACCTGGGCGTCACTCTCGTCTACTACCTGGCTGGCCGCGACCTGAGCCGCCTGCCCCAGCTGGTCGGAGTCCCCACGCCGCTGCAGGGCGGCTCGAACGGCGCCGCCGCCATCGGGCAGCCCTCCAGGGAGCTCCGGTCTGGAGGGGCCCGGCCGCCGCCTCCTTTAGGCGCCTCCTCGGAGCCGCGCCCGGGTCGTGACTCCAGCCGCGGTGCGGATTCTGGCCCTCGCCCCGCGAGCAACTTGACTGCGCTCCCACTGCCCCGCACCACGGTGCTGCCCGCTTGCCCCGAGGAGTCCCCGCTGCTCGGTAAGGACTCGGGTCGTCGCCAGTGCGAGGATTGGGACTCCCCGGGATTTCCCCTACAGGGTCCCCCGGACATTCTCCTATGCCCTCTTCCACGACAGCCAGCCTCTTTTTCCCAGATCAGAGACCTTAATCCCAGACAGGCTTTGGGTTGGATGGGAGACAGGGGTTGGGAGGTGGGTCCCTTGGGAGTAGTGTTGGAGGCTTGGGGCCGAGACCCTACAGGGAAGCCCGCAGGCCCCTCTGGCCCCCAAACCAGAGAAGGCCTTGGAGACTTCCCTGCTCGGGCCCAAGGCTCAGGAAGTTTGGGAGTTTTGGTCTGTTTTAGGGCGTAGAGCAGCCTTGTCCCGCTAACTGCGGTAGGGACCTCAAGTAAACCCACTCCCGTTCTGGGGACTGACATTGAGGCTCCCAGTGGGGAAGGAGGTCGTCCTCTCAGATCACAAATCTTCCCATAGAGCCACTCTCCTAAGAGTGGATTAACTTTTCTCCTCAGTCTTTGGGCAAGTGACTTCTCTCTAAACTTCAGATTTCTCTTATGGTAAATGGGTATAATAAATGGTACCTGTTTTAAGGGGTTGTTTTGGAAGATTAAATGAAGTGATGTAAACAAGAGTTTAATTAATGAGGATAAGCCCTCAGTAAATTGTCAATATTGTGTTCATTTCCTCCTCTGTGTGGATCCCTGGCTTGGGGCCCTTCCCTCCAGCTTCCTCCCTGGGTAGGTTCCCCAACCTAGGTGAGCAGGGTCCTTCCAGGGGCAGAGAGCATGTGTACTCTGGGGGCTGGAAGGCTAAAATATAACCACTCAACATGAGGTTGCCCAATCCTGGTACTTCTGGTAGCAGCCGAAGTGTCAGTTATCTTGTCCAGATGATGTGAACCCTGGCCTCTAGTCTCTGTTTCAGTGTAAACTGGGAGCTTGGATAGGTGGGTTTTGCGTTTCTTACTGCGGGAGGCTGAGCCTAACCTGGATTGCTGCTTAACTTGTAACCCAGTGGTGCCTGACCTTTTTGGCATGAGGGACCGTTTTCATGGAAGACAATTTTTCCATGGCCTGGGGAAGGGGGGATGGTTTCGGGATTATTCAAGTGCATTACATTTGTTGTGCACTTTATTTCTGTTATTATTACATTGTAATATATAATGAAATAATTATACGGCTCACCATAGGTTGGGGACCCCTGCTGTAACCCACAGGCCCAAGGCAGCTACTGGTTGTGTCCAGGGTTACCAGACAGGTGGCCACTCATCTCTAATGCTAGATTTTAGAGAATTGTTCTGAGTGAGGGGCCCTGGCAGGCGGGCAGGCATCCTGCCAATTACTCTGTTGCTTTCCTGCAGAACCCTGGCAGAGCAGGCCTTCCTACCTGTTCTTGCTCGGTTTCTGCAATAATTGCTTCAATATTTTCATATCAAGTTTGAGAGGGACATCTTGGAATTGGTCAGACATGAACTGTGGTAACGAGTGGGAATTTTTTTTTATAGCAGAAAATTGAATTCCTTTGCATTTATTTTAATAGTCTAGGAAGCAGACGAGTCCTATAAAACAAAGTATGATAGACTCTTTGCCCTGCTGCTAAATGTCTGACTTCAGGCACGTTATAGAGTTACTTAGGGTCTCGTGTGTAAAATGAGGTTGTTGATGTTTACCTTATAGGTTATTTTTAAGACTGAATGACATTGTGTACAGTAAATACGTGATACACAGTAGGTACTAGATACATGATGGTTAACAATAATATAATAATATATTTGCTTGTAACTTTAAAGTTCCCATGGAGATGGCTCTGAACAGCAGAGAGAAGGGGGGAAGAGAGAGTACAAGTCCCAGGCCACAGAGAGGCCAGTTTTTTTTGGTTTTGTTTTTAATTGTTGCCTGGACATTATACAATAAAAAAGAAAAATTAGGCAGGGTGAGGTGGCTCATGCCTGTAATCCTAGCACTCTGGGAGGCTGAGGCAGGAGGATTGCTTGAGCTCAGGTGTTCAAGACCAGCCTAAGCAAGAGTGAGACCTACTAAAAACAGAAAAAGTTAGCTGGGCATGGTGGTGCATTTCTGTAGTCCCAGCTACTTGGGAGGCTGAGGCAGGGGGATTGCTTAAGCCCAGGAGTTTGAGGTTGCTGTGAGCTAGGCTGATGCCAGGGCACTCTAGCCTGGGCAACCAAGTGAGAAACCGTCTCAAAAAAGAAAAATTAATTAGCAAGTTAAAGAAAAGTACCCCAGAGTTCATTAGCTTGGTATTTGAGGCATAGGATCTCGCCGAAGCATAAGAGTCACGGTGGTGACAGTAGCTCTGCTTTGTTTCGTTTTGTAACGGTGTTGCTAGTATCAGCTTGTTACAAGTTACTGGTGTTTTTAAATGGATTCTGAACTGGCTGCTTGAAAGGACTTCCTGAGATAAAGTGTGAGGACTTTCTCTAACTTGGCTGTCTTCATGTGACATGTATGAGATCATGACGCTTAGGCTGCTGCTGAGGCAACCCCAGAAAATGAGGTTGAAGGTCTTTTCCTCATTTTAGTTGAGCCCTTAGTTTGAATGGTTGGGAGCGGCTCTCCAAGTGGAGGTTCCTGCCATGAGAAAGCTGAAAGTCTCCCTGGGAGTGTGGGTGGGGGGAGTTGAGCCCATCTGTTCATGGGCAGGTGTCAGCCAAAGCCCTTGTGGGGTGGTTTTGAGGTTGATGGGAGAAAGCATCCGTGGGGTTTAGAGTTGTGGCCTTTTCACTACTTGCAGTTTCTTTCCCTGACTTGGCTCTGCTTTCTGGTGTCCAGGGCTCTGGGCCAGATGCTGCGATCCCTCTCAGCTGATAGGTGGTAGGTTATGGGCAGCCCTTTTCCTGGAGGAGGTAAGGCACCAGGCTGGACTTCTGATGGGCCACTATTTGATCTGTCAGAGCCTCAGAATAGACTTCAAATAGACTTGGGCTAGAATCCTGCCTCTGTCTATGCCATCTGTGTGACCTGGGGCAGATTGTAGTATTTGGAACCACAGTAGTTCCCATCCAGGGCAAGCCCCACGGGCCAGTGTGGGGCCTCCAGGAGTGAGTGCTGAAGGGGGTTGGTGGGCCTTTCCTGAGGTTTCCTACAGCATTCCCCAGGCAGTTCTCCCAGCTAGTTTAGGACTGTAGGTATCCTCTTTCCCTGACTCTGTCTCACGTCCTCAGGGGGCCATGCGACATCCACTCCACTGACCCTACAGTTGACGTTCTCTTTTCTTGCCACCTGGGTGTTTGCCTGAAATGGGAGGAACAGTGGCCTTGCATTTCTTCTCCTGGAATGTTTATCTCTGCTCAGATTTGGCTGCAGCTCAACAGGACTTGACTGGCTGTAGCACTGCTAGTCTGGAGAGGGGTGGGGAGGGGGAGGTGGGCAGTACATGAGACTGCACTAGTTAGGGGAGGCCAGGGCTGGCTGGCCTGGGAGTGAAGTGAGTACTGGACTGCTTACACCTTAGAGGCCCCTCTTGCCCAGCTATGCTTTGAGGAGATCCTCTTCACTGGGCACCTGGGCCAGCAAACAGCAGCTACACATAGTCAGGGTACATGGGGAGCACTTGTCCCTGAGCCAGTTTCCCTGGTTTTTATGAGGGCTGTCAGCTGAGCCTTCACGAAGGTTTGTGCCCTAGCACTTGTAGGTCTCTGCTGGGTTCTTGGCACTCAGGTGTTTCTCTTCTAGCATGCTGCCCCCTACCCCATGTGCACACACATGGATAGCAGCAGGCTGCCCAGGACAGGGTGTGCTTAGAGGCTTGGGAAAGGGCACTCTCTCACCCCTTTGGGGATGAGTACTGGAGCCTCATCACCTTCTAGCTTGTGGTGGAGCTTCATCCTAGGGATTGGGGAAGGCACAGGGAGGGAGCCTCATTTGTATCCAGATCTTGAAGCCTTAGGCTTAGGTAACTAGCCCTTTAAACCAATTTTGTCCTGTTGTTTTTTCCCAGGGAAAATAATTTATTGACATAACATGCAGATACTTATTGTCTAACAGTCTGTAATTTAGTAATACCCTTCATGGCTATCTGGCTCAATTTCTTCCACACGGCCTGATGGGGGTGGAAGTGATGCCTGCCTGTTGTAGTTCATCTAGACTCCGAGCAAGCGCAGGAGCCTCCTCCTTCTGCAGCAGGGCTTCTGATGAACCCAGTGGAAGCTCCCTGGGGCGTGAGGAGTAAGAGCCAAAGGATTGGACTCAAAACTGCAGCTTCTTAGAACCATAGCTTCGAAGGACAGAACCATCCCCTGCTTTTCCCTGAGGTTATTACCCAGTAGACACTTAATATAAAGGTTATGGGGTGACCCGATGTGGCTTAGAGTTTTAGGAAAAGATCCCTGCAAGGTATGTCTGTGGGTCCTTCTGAAAAATCTTTTATGGTTGTCTTGTATGGATGTCCTTGATGGCTAAGGCACCTGGTAACCTCTTTCATTTATTTCCAGCAAGGTACCTGGACTATGCTGGGCACTAGAGCTACAAAGAAGACAAAATGCCTCCCCGTTAGTAACTCACAAGTTAGGCGAGGGAAGCATAATTAAACAGTGCTGATGTCAACTGAGGAAACCAAAGTGTGTGTGTGTGCATGTGTGTATCTCTTTCCCTCTCCCTATCACTCCCCAACTCTCCTGCCCTTTCTTCTTTTAGAAACCCAGAGTTGATATTAAAGTTCTCTAGTCCTGGTTTTATCTATCTGTGTGAAAAATTTCCTCTGATTTCTGAAGCTACGTAATTAGCTCTGCTGGGTAATCTTTAACTTGCTGCTTTCTGATGATTTTAATGAGACATCAACAGCCATATGCCTGGGTATTATGGTCTTTGGGTAGCAGCAAGGTAGGGATTTCCAGTCTGGGACTAGGCTAATTTATGGGTTGGGAGTGATGGGTCAGTTAATGCCAAGACAGTCTGAATCCTTCCACAGATTCCACCCTGGGGACCATCCAGACTTTGGGAACAGTGCCCACAGGCTCGTCCCCTCTGGGCTCAGATGAGCTGTGTGTGTGTGTGTGTGTGA